CGTAGCCTTTCCATTCTGCACGTATCAATGAGGTGTGAGACCTCTCTATATAACTCTTGTATTGTCATTGGACGGTATCGCTTGTTGGCTGGTCACAATTACTACTTGCACCAAATTACTACCCCTACTAAATCTCGAATTCCGTTGGTGAGAATCTCCATGTTTGTTGGATATAACCATCTAAATCGCCGAAATTCATATCTAATGTCTATATTATTAAGTCTATATATGTAGGATTATACACGATGATATATTCCCTGTATATCCAACATAGGTAGAACTGCATATAATTGAGTAATTAGGGAATATCACTGTCTAGTTGGTTGACCATCTAAGAACTCAGATAGGGGATATTCCCTGTATATCACTGCACTGTATATCCATGTATATCCCCTAGCAGAGCGGTTGCTGGATGGTTTCAACCATGTTTGTTGGCTATGATCCTACCTAAATCTCCATATTTCATGTATTAGTTTATAAGTTGTTCATTGGATTATACACGATAACAATACTAACTTTGATTAATTGTATTTAATACAAATATATATATATATTATACATATAATATCATATACTTGGACACCAAAAAAAACTGGATGGTTAAGACTAAAAATAGGCATTCCAATCTGTGTAGGCCAAATTGTTGACCCAGAGTCTTCGTGCTGAAAGGCGAAGAAGTTGTCGTTCCAATCGATGGATCGGCCCAGCCCGTCGCTCATGGTCTCATAGCCATGCCTCAGACGCCGTTTTTGGGCGCAGATGGGCGCAGCCTGCTGGTTGATATGCCTTGAACGTATAGGTAAATGTTGAGAAAATCCACGAGAAATGATGGTTTCATGGGACTCCAATGGTGATTTTTCATGGGATTGATGACAGGGATTTAAATTTTTGACAGGATTTAACATGACTTCAGCATCAAACATGATGAAAATTGGTATTGCAACCCTCCAGTGTTATCGTCATGGTGATTGCTGGGAAATCCTTCAACTAGCCACATGTGAAAATCATCTCACTTGGATCTAAATGGTGATTTTCCAGCAACCACAGTTGATGACCACAAACTTGGATTCGTGTTAAGAGGACAATTACGAGTAAATCATATCTCCACTCGATTCCCCACATCTTCCATCAACCATGATTTACTATTAGATTCACTTAGCATGGGAAATTTTTAGAATCGTGTTCGGCAGATCCATGAAACTTAGCAAATCCAAAATATTGGCACTTCACCAGGATTTCTGAAGGCTGCTTTATGAGGCTTTATTAATTTCATTGGCAGGAAGGGATCGCTCAAAAAATCCTGGCCACTAACCGGGGGTAGCCATGGGTAACCCAGCCCTGATGCCAGGCTATCTTGAAGTTGAGGGGATATTTCACTTGATCACCCACATCATCAAAGGTTGAAGCGAGCACGCTGAAATCTATCTGGAGATCAGCCCATGATTGTTCGTCGCACTTGGGCGCCATGTCATCGACTTGATCAAGTAACGACTTTTGAAATGTCACTGGAGATAGCGGAGTTAATAATCTCTTGCCTCCCTGCATTGTTTCACAGTTATACTGTTATACTATGTTATACTTATCATCTAAACAACTCATACTTGTCGCTTGGGATGTGGGACATTTCGGCTAGTGATATCCATCTCTTTTTTCCCATCACATCACGCTCTAAGTCGCGCGTGGAAGTCGAAGATTCCGAAATCAAAGAGGCAGGAGGAATTCCTTGGTCTCTCTTGGCGTCACAAAGAGATGGCTCCAAAGACACAAAAAAAACTCCAGTTTTTAGATGGTCAACTATATAAACAAGAGTAAACAAGCATTGAAAGAAGTTGAACATCATGTTCTTTGTATATATTTGGAGTCCAGCCATTTTTCGCTGCTTTCCATTTTTCCCACACTGGACCCATGTTTACATTGTTTACCTCCAAACCGAACCCGGTAGGATTTAGATCTGTACCAAAATCACCAATTTTATCCATGTTTTCCACCCATTTATTATGACATATGACATGGCTTTATTTTGCAACATGTTATAACATTTCCCACAACCCATCCAAAAAAAAAACCTTGCACCGCCAGATCCGAGTCTCTGTTCCAAGCGAAAGAGTAGCGACTCGTGGACCAATGCGGCACAGTCCCAACGCCTGGACGTTGGGTCCAGGCGTTGGAACTTCCAGCAAAAGATGGTGGCTAACCTCTGGTAGAGATACAAAAAACTATGGAAAATCACCATCTTTAATATAATGACTTTTAATGGGTATATAAGGTGTATATAAATCAACTATTTCTATGGGCATGTTCAAGAGCTATGTTAAATTACCAGGAGGCTATTTCGAGCAAACCTGAGGATATTGGAAAGTCGAACTGGAGAATGTCCTTGCCCAGTGCTACGAAATGAAAAGGGATGATCCTCTTATTCATGGAAAACAGGATGCCACCAAGATCCAGAAGGGCCGGGACTCAACAAAACATGTTGAATGGAAGAAACAAACAAAAAAACATATCCAACAAGGCAGGAACAAGCAAGAGATAGCCGAAAATCATGACCAAACAATCGCGGATGAGGTTTTATCATGTTTTAACTAAGCAATCATATAGCATCCGGAGATTTCTCCACCAACAACACACAAAAAAAAGCGTTGCCTTCCGCCGGGATGTTTCCAACTTGGCGCCTCCACACGCAATCAGAGTAGAAGGTGTGCCTGGTCCAACGGTCGTCCGCAGATGTGGCAGAATTTTTGGAGAGCCAATGGGTCAAAACCTACCCAGGTGACACAAAATCGGTTGTAAATTCATGCTCACCATATGTGATAGGTTTTTTGCGAATAGTTTGTAATAGTTACCCATGAAAATGATAGGCGATAGGTTTTTCAAGTTTTTGTTGCGATTCCCCATATTAAAATGATGGGTTTCTGTTACCTGCCAGCCATCGCCAGATGGGAATTTCAGTAGTCTTAGAACAAACACCGATCTCTTTTCCTGGCGAAAGCACACAACTACAAGCACTTCACTCCAAATTACACATGTTTTTTTCGCTAGCTATGTCCAGCTATGTCCAGCTATGTCCAGCAGCTCACTGTCATTTCGCCTTTCCATGACCGAAAAAACCAGGAACCAGGTACCCCAACTGACCTTCCAATGAAACAACTCATCTAAGTTTAATTCACAGAAAAACAATGAAAAAAAATCCATTGCCATTCATTTCAAAAAAATCACCCAGCCAGCAACAGACTCAACACCAAGTCGGAACTTGACCTCATCCACCAGTCTCCACCAGTCTCCACCCAGGTGCTCAATGCGATAGCTGGGATCCACCATGACTTCGCCCTTGTAACGCCAAGGGCCCAGCTTCTGCTCCTGGAGCTGAGTGAAACTCTGACCGTGCTGCAGGCTTTCCACATACCCGAAATGGTTATGACTGTTACATAGCGAACTGGAAAATGATGGAAAATGGCCCAGTCGAAATAGTGGGATTTCAGTTTTCCCATTAAAAATGGTGATTTTCCATAGTTATGTAACAGTTTACCAGAGGGTATCTTCCAATGAAACATCCGTAACTGGTTGGTGGTATACCTACCCCTCTGAAAAAAATATGACTTCGTCAATTGGGATCATTATTCCCAACTGAATGGAAAAATAAAAAATGTTCCAAAGCAACAACCAGGTAAAGAAAACAGACATCAACTGATCAACTATTTTTATTTTGCAAGATATCACTGAACCATACTGAACCAAGATCGTGTTCCATTCTTTTCCCCCGCGGTGACCCAACAAAAAAACTCCGGTGACCCGTCCCTCGGTCCATTCGCCATTCCATGGCCGGGCGCCTGGTTGGTCCTCCCGGCCTCCAGCGGCGGCTTCTCCAGGTGTGGAATGGAAGACATCTCTTGATGCACCGCGGACAGGATCCCATGATTCACCACCTGGATTCAACTCACTTTCCGAGCGATGTCACGTTCTGAAAAGGTGAAAAGGTTTAAAAAAAACACCTGGCTTCCAATCATCCCAATGATGTAAGATTCTGGAAAAGTATCAGGAAAACTGAAAAACGAGGTGGAAATAGGTGGAAAATTAGCAGCAACCAAAACAAACGGACAAAACTAGCCGTGGCATTTTCCGCGCACCTGCTTCAAAGAGATCCTGTTACTCCTTCTGCTTACGACCCAACCAAACCATTGATATCTCATTTGCAAATCCTTTGTAGAATGCGTTGTCCATTCGCGCTGCATGTTCGGCAAGGCATGTCAAACACATCTTTTCCAGGCAATAATCTGACTGAAGCAACATCAGAAGCTTCAGAACAACTTGGATTTAACTTGTTGCATACAAGTGCATCAAGTGCATCAAGTGCTTTAGGCATTCTGTGCAACCAGCTGGTCAGCGAAATACCATGAGAAGGCATAGCTGGCAGCTTGGGTTTCGATTCACTCGGGTCACTGGCTGCTTGCGGCAAGAAGCATTGGCAGAGACAAAGAGAAATCTGCCACGGCGTTTCCTCACAAGGTGGGCCGCTGGGCCCCCCGTTGTCACTGGGTTTTTTTCGTCAAAAACCCAACAGTTCACCAAGGCAAATGTGCAGAAAAACGCTTAGCGTTGTCACAGGGGCGCAAAGGAATCGTTACCATCTGGTTATGACTAACATAGCCATGGAAAATCACCATTTTTAATAGGTGAACCATCTATAAATAGGCCATTTTCCATGGCTATGTTAAATAACCAGATGGTATATGATGGAAAGCATCACAGCTGATGAAAAAGCGGCATCACAACAGGAGCTGACACAGAACATCTCCGTTTGATGCGTAGGGATTCTAGATCTTAAGTCATGGCAAAGGTGGAAAAAAATCATTGGGCGGAAGCATGGCAGCTGAAGCTATGTTGATATTCTATGAGGTGACTATCCGTTGAATCCAATTGGACAAAATGAGTTGGGCTACACCGTGAATCAACAGCTGGGTGATCTTAAGGATCAATACCTTGCTACAAATGTGTGCGTGCATCCTCTGAAATAAGAGTGGAAAACGTTCAAGCTAGTCTCCGCCACAAACATGAAAACCTGTGAAATGTTTAATACTCCAAGACCTACCCTCACAACCCAAACTAGATATATAACTAGATATGGTAAGCCCCCAAAAGAATCCATAAGATAGAAAAATATCTTCAGGTGAATTGCTACTATTCCAGACTCAGAGCATCCTTTTCTATCTTTTTGGGGTTACTGTACCCAAAGGAGAAACACAGAAAGGCAAAAAAAAACAGATGTGTTGACAGGGAAAATGTGTTTGTCAACCAATGGTTTTTTTTGGGGGGTACCCTCTGGTAAACTAACATAGCTATTGAAAATGGCCATTTATAGTGAGTTGTCCCATTAAAAATGGTGATTTTCCATAGTTATGTAACAGTTTACCAGAGGGTACCCTATTTTCAAACAAACAAACCATCTGAGCAATTCCAAGCTTCTCACGGATCATGTCTGGGATGGCACCATCTGCAATGAAGACCACCTAAGTGCGATGAAGGACAGCACTTTTCCGTTTGCCGCACCCAGGCATCGTAAGTGGATTGTTACTATTATTATTGTTGTTATTATATGATTAAATCAATATATATATATACTACGTTATTACATATTGATACATGTATATTAATATCAAGGGTATGTCTTTTTTTCCACTGGGGGGTGTTCCATCTATAAATATAAATGGGTTATAACATGTAGTTACAATATGTTACAATATGGTTATGACCCACTGACAATTCCTGGGATGTCCAGTATGCCCAGTATGGCGCCCCCTCAGAAATGGCTCCATGAGACATCCAAAGAGTCCAAAAAGAGGTCCCCAAAAAGATACCCGAAATGGTAATTTGTCACAGTTTGCTATTGAAAATGGCCCAGTCGAAATAGTGGATTTACCATGATTTACCCATTAAAAATGGGTGGATTTTCCAGTTTGCTATGTAAAGGCTTACCAGGGGGTATTGAAAAGTGTGCCACCGGGATGGTGCTTCAAAAGGCCAAAGTCAGGCGTCCCCGTTTTTGTGCGCCAAAGTTTGCAGGACTTCAAGCTATGTTCAAAAAATCAAACCCAACTGTGGCGCTAAATGTGGCGCCATAGAAACTTCGGACAAGTCATGACAAGTCATGACAAGTCACATCGTCATCAATCTTGATGTAGTATGCGCCTGGCTCATCCGCCAAGCGCCAAATCACCTCAGGCCGCTTAGGTGGCCGGAAATGGCCATGGTGAGTAGCCTGATGACTGGCTGCGACCGGCTTTTGATGTAGCCCAAAGGAGAACTTCAGTGACTTTTTCGCAATGTCGCATCGTTTGATATCGTTTGGGATGATGATTGTCAATCTGGTTGGTGGTATACCTACCTACCCCTCTGAAAAATGATGGACGAATCGTCAGTTGGGATGATCCCAACAAAAAATGGGAAAGTCATTAAACATGTTCCATGGTCCCAGTCACCAACAAGCAGTCAATGTCCAAACATCATTTAAGTTTCCCCCAACTCGGAACTTTCGGACGCGCCAAGTGACATCCCAAGCACCGCCTTCCATGTGCCATGGAATGATGTAGCTCTTGGGATTCCGACCTCACCGATAGATAAGACACCATTTGTTTAGACAAGTCGATCACCTGATTTTACCCCTTGGACCTGGTAATTCTACCTATGAAAAAACACCAGATGTCTAGGGGAAATAATCTACTTTCCATAGAAATTCATGAGCCATCTGGTTATACATAGTTATACCATAGCGAGCTGTTGAGGTTGCTTTTTTTCCACAGAGCTGTTTTCAAGTCAGGGCTTTCTTTGGGCTCTAAGTTCGAGGCGTTGGAGCATGATCAAATAGTTCATGTCCTGAAAAATCACGGACGGGGGCTGAAGTGAGCCCGCGAAAGGACCACTAGAGTCCTCTATTAGTGCACGGTGTACTATTTATATCTATTTGTCATAGATCATATATCTAGATCATATACCTAGATCATATACCTAGATACCAGATATATCCAGATATCTGTACTATACACATCTATACACGTCTATATTGTGAAAGATGAAATCACCCCTGTTTTCAGAAAAGTTCGGATCTGCGGTCCCTGCTGTCCCTGCTGCTGCGCCCCCAAAAAAAAAACAGGTCCTCCATGGTGTATTTCACCATGGCAAAGATCACGCCATCCAAGACACCCCCGTTACTGCGCAGGTTGCGCTCCAGGTAGGCGTTGAGGATATCTACATAGGACCTGCGACGCAGAGGGCCAGAGGGCAGTGAGTTAGAAGGTGATTCCCCCAGTTATTCTTGTTGGTTCGTAAAGCCCATGACAAACTAGTTCGATATATCCACCGTGAACCATAGTTGACCTAGCTATAAACCAACTTAGCTAAGTATAGCTAAGTAGGAGGACCTGTAGAAGTGGTAACTTCAGTAACCTTCAGGTACTCCAAAGTTCAGAGAAAATCGTTCAGTTCCAGGTTTTTGGTATCTATGCAGTGGCAAATCTTAAGTGCCCCGAATATGAAAACATGGCAGTCTCTAGCTAGATGCAGCTAGATATCACATTTTCCCCTACTCCTGTCTGAAAAAAAATGGAAAAGAACCTAATAACTTACCTCTGACCATCCACTAAGGTTGTGCCTGATTGCTGGTGCCGGCTGACCCCGACAAAAGAACCGAACCTCCTGCCATAGTAAACCAGGGCGTAAATCTTTGCCTCGGCTTTCACAGCGCCACGCATCGAAATGGAACTCTTGCTGGGTCATTGAGGTTCCAACCCCTCATCATCGGGATCGTAGTTAGGATTGTGGACCCAATCAAGCCAACTTGCTCCAATCTGTGGTTCTATTACTGGTTGGTGGTTGACCTACCCCTCTGAAAAATATGAGTTCGTCAGTTGGGATTCTTATTCCAAACTAAATGGAAAAATAAATTTCATGTTCCAAAACACCAAATCTGTGGTTCTATTACCAAACCATTCATTGATGATCGGCCTCCTTGAGGTCGTCGTAGGGGTCATCCACAGTGATGCACGCAGGCCTGTTGAAACAGGGCGAATTTTTTCGGAGAGAAAAAACTGACCTGAAACCCATGAAAAATCTCATGAAATCCCCCAAATCATCCAAGTTTCCAGGTGCTGCACTTAATTTTGAAAGCTGCATACAGAGATTTTTATGTCCTGATTTTGCACATCACCCAACCATTGGGGATATAATGTCCAACAAATACTTGAAAGTAAGGTTCAAAATCCCAAAAAGTGGACCTTTACCAACCCCTTGGCATACTCACTTTAAGATACAAAAAAAGTGGTTCCACTTCTGGGTTTCTGGGGATTCAACATCAATCATTTAATTTCTAGTAGGGCCATTTTTCAGTTCGCAAAGTGTAACAATAACCAGAGGGCCAGAGGCTAGATCAAAAAATAAACATACATATATAATTTATCATATGTTATCACCATCTAACATCATCTAACTATAGGTGAATCAACTATTCCTATGATTTTCTATGATTTTCTATGGCTCATTTTCCATGTCGCTTAAACTGCTGGCAACGACCACTTGGAGATTTCGAGCCACCTCAAGGGATCCTCGGTGGCCACTCGGCGTGTCACAGGGATGCCGAGAACGACGACGCCGAGGCAAAGGCCAAAACCTGAGAGGACGAAATCATTGGGAATTCATTGGAATTCTACATCATTCATATCATTCTACTGTGATTTTGTTGTGCATATATGAATATATATGACTGTTCTTATTGCTTCATGGTTATATAATGTGACTTTTAAATTACTCGTGGTTGTCATTTGTCAATCGAACGATCAATGATATCCGATGGTATCGAACATCCAATCCGGGGCCAAAATCCAGGGCCTGCTATGTCACAACTGGAGGAACAGCCAAGGCCTGAAAAAACATCGACACCCAAATCACAACTCCTGGATACTCCTGGCCTATGTTCCCATTGTTGATATCTGACCAGTTATTACCAGTTGTTCATGTTTCCAGCCTTTATCATCAACGATTCTGATGATCTTCCAATCTTCTTATCCGTAACACCAGTTGTTTTGTATCCCCATAGTTTGGGAGCATTGCCCCACTGTCAAGACTAGACACACTGACCAGACTTCTTGGGTTTCATCGCGAGCCAAGGTGCTTCGCAGAAAGACACTCATGACCGCAAGCGGGAGTCCAAAGCCATGAGATCAGCAAGGTTTTTAGATCCTGGGAAAATGCATGGACTTAATGTTCATTGTTCATCATTGTTCAGCATGGATCCACTTGGAAAGGTTTTTCAGCTTCGGGTTACTAATCTTGGTTTTTCACGATCTTGGAGCTGTTTTTTCAGTTGTGGAGTCGGCAACTTCCAAAATTATCCCCTGCCGGACTTGAGTCAAAGATGTGGCATCCTGACAGCAAGAGATTGGGCCAGCGAGTATACCCAAATGATCCCATCAAAGATGATGCCACATTTGCTGCTCTGAAATTTCCTTGCACCTGCCCACTGCCGTTCACCGAAATGTCATACCGAAGTCGGTGAAAACAACCCACTAAATCATGGTACCCAGTTCATGTGCGAGTTCGAATTGAGCTCTAAATGTCATGTCGCAGCTTGAGCCGGTGAAAACAGCCCCAGCTGCTTGAAGCGGCTTCGCAGATCACCCAGAAATGGATTCAAATTCATGCCATTACATGCCCTTCAGTAGTGAAAGTAAGCCCAAGATGTGTGACCTGTCCAATCAAAAGATTCATCTTCTCACCCAGTTTCCTTTCGCTTCAAATGTTTCTCAGGTTCACCTGCATAAAACCATCTGACCATTCAAATCACTTCTGACCCAGCACTGGTGAATATCACCTGCTGAGTGGTGGAGGTCAAGTCCACCGCGACGATTGGTGGATCTCTGTAGGTATAGCGGAAACTGGTGGATTTATAGCTGATTGAGTAGCTGATTTGGCTGATTTACCTACTCTTCATTGATTTTCCATAGCTATGTTATATGATGTTATATGTTAGTTTACCAGAGACTATCTCACCCTGAAGCTGGACTTTCCGACAAACAAAAAGAGATTGGATGCTGCGCCGCACCTGTCGCGAGTCGTGGGTGGTCTCCCATGTCATATTCGCACACGGCGTAAAGACATCCCACCTTTGAAAAAGACGCGAGACCGCAACGTCGCATTGAGAGGTCAGTGGCTTTCTGACACCTGAATTATAGGTCCATAAATAAATATCGCAGAAATTATGATCAAGAAATATTGAAGTAGCTCAAACGGAAATCCACAAATCAATATAAGTCGTGCATATAAAACATCCATTGAAATCCATTAATCACGTGAACATCTACTGAGATACAATTCTAATCCCAAAATTTTCACAGACTTCACCATCTGAAACTCGGTTCCCTAGCCCATGGGAGTGCAAACGGACGTTCTCGCAGGTGACTTGGCCGTGAAAATGCAAGGAATTCCTGAGCTGGGGGTCACTTGACATTTTTATACATTTTTATGTTTCGATATCCACAAAACGCAAACACGCCTAAGGAACATCATCTTTCTATGCCAACAAAGGCATTCTATGCCGCTTGTCATAGCCCATAGGATCCATGTATGCTATATATGGTAATATTTACCATCAATATACCCCCAATGTTAGCATATATACCATACATGGATCCTATGGATAAGGAAATGACCCAAAAAAATGCCAACGAAGGCCTTCAAAGCGTTCAAATCTCAGCATTCTCTGTGAAGGTGGGCATGGAATCTGGTGTCGTTCCACTTGGACCAATGGCGATGGCTGTGGGGCCATGAATCATCAAGAAGAGATTTCCAAAGAATTCTATATTATATATATATATATATTATGTATATATATATGTATATATATATTATATATATCCCAGTTGTAAGAGGTTATTGATTTACCAGCTGTGTATAACTTTGAGAGTCCTTGAGGTTGTCTGGCTTTTGCACCGGGTTGTCTTAGAGATTCCGTGACAAGTTGCATGCAAGGGTCTGCTGGCACCTGCTGCTCGCAGTGTCACAACTTATGGATTTTCAAGGAGTCACAACATGTTCAGAGAATCTTCCCTATAGATTCTCCATTTCCGGTGGTAGGAGAAATTCCAGGAATTTAAAACAAATCACCGACTCAAAAAACCGATGGAAAATCCAGCATTTCGAAACCTCCAACGGCCTCTATCAAGATGTCAGAGGTGGAAAACGCACTGTGCGGAGTGAAGAAGGCCACCTGGGCCGAAAAAACACCGTGGGATAGACTTCGCGCTGGCGAAACACAACGACAAATTGAGGTTTGCCTTGGGGTAAACTCAGATATTTTTTGGAGGTACCCTAGGAATGGGTCTACAAATGCTGTGGATTTTGCATGCTCGTTAGCTACAACAGCCAGGCTTTGATCTGACACAACATGGTTGCACGATTTTTTGACTTGCGACCCAACAACGGTCACCTGCCAGAGTCAACCTTGTGTCATCGCTACATAACCGGTGGGAATTCTTACATTGGATCCACTAAGCCCCAACCCATGGGGTTATGATGCTGTGCCACTAACTGTCCGGTGCTGGGCATCCCGACCGGTGATGGGATGCCAAAACTATGCGAAAACAAGCGCCGCTTCCACCTCCGCGAAAGGTGTGGGTCTATCTTGGAATCCCGGTAGCCGAATCTGAACGTTCCATGTTAAATAAAGAAACGCGAAACTAGAACAGTAGTGGATAGTAGTGGTACGGATCCCTGACACATGTAATTATTCAATATTATTTGTGGAAATCGTCATGACAAGTCAACCAATTATCGCGTTGGGGTTGTTGAGAAGGAAAAACATGCTGACCATTGCTGCGCCGCGCTGGCACCTGATCCACCCGAAAGTCTTGTCAAACTCACCAGCCTTAGCGCCAGCTACTCGGCGATTCATCCACGTATAAGTTGGGGAAGCAGGATGAACTGCAGCTACTGTACTCCAAAAACAACGGTCACCGACCATTTCGGTGGGCATGGTTTTGCCCCTATATGAATAAACAAATGCAGAAATAGCATGAACATCTCCATATGTTTCCCAGTCAAATCACCCAAAAAATGGATCTCTGAGGGTCCCCACTGCCAAGGCGCCAGGAGGCACGTTGCAGTTGCCTTCCTCAAGGCTTTGGTTCACTAAAAGATGGGAATTTCATGTTGGGTTGACCAAGAAATGGTGGTGTTTTACCACGAAAAATGGCGGTTTTACCCATGCTTTACCCTGGGATTGACCTAAAATGATGGGGATGTCCTTCAGTCCTGGGATGTTTTCTAGGGTGAAATTGGGATATAGTATGAGAAAATCATAAAACGAAATGGGGATATAAAGGATGTATTTTGGGATATGTACCCTCTGGTAATTTGTAACATAGCTATTGAAAATGGTCATAGAAATAGTTGATTTTCCCATTAAAAATGGTGGATCTTTCCATAGTTTTTTGTATGTTTACCAGGCCGGGTAACCCCATACTTCCGATGCATCTTGGGACATCCCATATCATCCCACATCATCCCATGGTGTTTTGTGGCGGCTACACACTCCGCAATCAGTGGCCACCAATGTGCCACTCCAAGCGTCGTAGTCCACCAACGGGCTAATCCATTGCCAAGGCCTCTGCGGATGGTGAAAAGACGTTAGCAGAAACATAGAATGATCATGGGATCAATGGTTTAGAAAACATTGTTTTAGATGGGTTTGGAAATCGATATGTCATATGGTTTGGAAACGGCATGTATTTATATGTATTTATGCTGAATATCTACGGGGATGTTTTTATGGCAACTTCACTAATGGTTTACAGAGAATATTTAAAACATGTGAATCAAAATGGACTCCCATCAATGACCAATGCCGATAGATAAAACATTCACTAGACCGAGATTTGTTCGGTCCATGTTCAATGCCAGAAGTTGTCCTTCAATTTCACAGGATTGTAGGCGTAAGAGTGATCCTAATGTGGTTTTTAATGGTTTGTATGGCATATATATAATTTAATATGTATGTATATATATATATTACTGTATATATATATATCCACACCTTATATACCATGAGGATCTAGTACTTGACGAAAATACGGAGATTGCAGGAAGAAAAGCGACATATTGTGCAAAAGATGATTCAAAACTAGTTTGGTATTTGTAGTCCCCCAAGTATCAGGTTTGCCCAAATCATATTCACAGAAATCAGCCCTACTTGCGCATCCCAGAAGTGGTTGTGTCACAACCATGGGATATCCACAGCTATCTATATAATGCGATCTATACTATAATGTGGGTAAAACAATCATAAACCATCCCCCAAAAATCTCCATTTTTATAGGTGGTAAAAACATGTATGGTTACCATTCCAAAATGGGTGGTTTGTTGATTTACCCAGGGTTTATATCATATAGCTTACAATTCAGTCACAAAGCATCCGCACATCCAGGATCATCCAAGTATGAATCCTGACCAACGAAGGTGGGCCCCCAGACTCATCTTCCTGCATTCTGGACATCCAGCTAATCACTGGCTTGAGTTGCGACCTGCGTCATTTGGAGAACGCGGAAAGTGATGCGAAATTTGCGCATATCCAAAGTTCCAAAAAAAATACATATCGGATCATAAAATATCATAAATTCAAATACATTCCATCAAAAATGGTGCGAAAGTTAGCTGTTCCCTTTCAAACCTAGGGCGCCATTCGCAACTTCCGAGAAATCTTGGCTCAACACACTCTGACTGTCAGTCCCTACCCTCCAGATGAATATCTTGCCCCAAGACTTTGGCATTTTTGGCCATGCCGAGAATGCTGCTACTTTGACAAACTTAAAGATCTCATCTGGTTGGTGGTGCAATAACTAACCATCTTGAAAAATGATGGAGTTCGTCAATGGGTTTCGGATGACATCCCATCTATGAAATGGAAAATAAAAGATGTTTGAAACCACCAACCAGTCATGTTCCCTGCTTCCAAACTCCAAAAATCACCTGCGTAACGCCACTGCTAAATCATTTCTCAACCACCTGAGCGGGTTTCGCAGGCGCTGGCCAGTCAACGAATCAGGTACCATGTCAGGTTTGGGAATGATTTTTTTTCGCTCATCAAGGCCACATCATTGCACTTTCTCAGGAGGACCTGTATTTGAAGCTCTTTTTGGCTTCGAATCTGACTGTATTCCAGTTCTGGCACCAGGCAGTCACGCTGATCCCACATGGGGGCAAAACGGAGATACGGACCTCGCAGAGACTTGAAAAACCAACGCCATAGGTACCATCTGGTTGGTGGTTTTTCCCTACCATTGGTTGGTAATATACTCTTAATATTAATGGTTAATATTAATGGTTATTATATGGTTAATGATGGTTAATAATAATCTGGTTGGTGGTTTTCCCTACCCCTCTGAAAAATATGAGTCAGTTTGGATGATTTTCCATTCCCAACTGAATGGAAAGTCATAAAATTCCATGGTTCCAAACCACCAACCAGCCATTTGGGCCTGAAGCACTAACAGCTTTTAATATGTCAAACGCCTGGTACCTCGTTGAACCCCAAAATAGCTGGTGAATGGATGTTCATGCCACTAAAATTGATAATTAATCTAATAGGTTTTGACCCAGCCCCATATGGTTTTATGGATGGCTTTGGAATAGTCCTAGATTCCTAGATCACCTGAACCTTCGCATGGTGATGGCTCAACTAATGGAAGATCTGGCCATGGGAAGTGCCACAGCAGGGGAGAGTCCTGCTAGGAGACATCGAAACTGCTCGCCCCAGTGAGTCCAAAGTCTCAACTAACTAATCGCCATTGAGACACTTCTCATGAAACCACAAAATACATCCGAATACGACAAACAAAACCATCAAGCCATACCAATAGGATCCATGGAATCCATGGTGCTGGAATATGAATGCTAACATAAATGGGGTATATTGATGGGATCCATGGCACACCATATATAGCAGCACCATGTATCCGTCATGGGATATTTTGTCGTTGTGATCCTTTGCTCCTCCCGACCCCCCTAAAAAAAAACGCTGATGCTCCGGACGGCAGCTTTGGAAGACAAAGGGCCTTACTTGGCTCGGTGAAACCGCAGGTGAATTGAACATCATTGAACCACTTTGGTATAATAAACATCATTTGGGGATGATACCGGATAAACATGGATAAACCCATGGTCACATTGGGATCCACCATAAACATAATATAGTAAACCCAGTGCCATAAACTTCATAAACCTACCATGACTGGGGATGGTTTATGGCAAAGGTGAATCCCACAGTGGTAAACAACTGGCAATTGCCTATGATCCCAGTTGTTTCATAGTTATTTCCAGTATGAATTCCGACCCAGAGCCATGAAAAAAAGTTCTTGTCTTTATATGGCAGTGTGTCAAAACCTTGTACCCCTAGTGAACCCCAAAATAGCTGGTAAATGGATGTTCATCCCACTAAAAATGTATCTATAGGTATTGACCCATACCCATATAATGACCTTATTTTTGCTTGCTTTGTTGACGGAATCGCTCTTACATTCCGTGTACGGAACTCGATGGAACTGTTCTATTGATCCATGTTTTGCACAACATATGGGGATGAGTCAAAACCTTGGTACCCTGGTGAACATCAAAATAGCTGGTAAATGGATGTTCATTCCCCTAAAAATGGTATTAATAGGTATTGATCCATACCCATATGTGTACTTGTTTGGGTGTATATCCACTCACGTTAGGTTTACCCTCCAACAAGCCAACAGTTTGCTATGTAAAATTGCCTTTTGTTTCGAGGATTTACCCATGAAAAAGTGTGATTTTCCATAGCTTTTTGTATGTTGACCAGGGTATTGCCCATCGAATATCTCACTATTAACCATTAGATATCCACTAGGCACTATATCTATTAACCATTATGAACGATACTTGGGAAACGTTTGCCCATTCTATCGCCATCATCGCCACCAATTTAAAAGCGCCCTGCCAAGCGTCTCTCCGTGCCACAGAAGCTGGGCACAGTACCTGGCTCGAAATGGGATGCCGAAAAAGTGGCCGTTTGTGGTAAATGGACGTAATCTATGATCCAGGATTTGTTTGGTATTAAATAGTATTACACTCTGGTAAACTAACATAGCTATATGGTAAATCATCATTTTTTATAGGTAAATCATCTATAAGTCAGCCATGTTCAATAGCTATGTCAAATTACCGGAGAGTAACATATAGTAATAATATCATCGATATTCTGTGGCGTTCAATAGGGAAGCGTAGTTGCCACATGGTAAAATTGACTGATATAATGGGTTGTTCAACGGGTGAATTTTACCCATTCATGCTTGGCTTTCCATGGTGACTTAAAAGGGCTGATATGACAGAGGAATTGATTCACAATTCAGCCATTGCGCCATGGGGGGCTGTAGGGATTAAAATTTGTATGCTTTTGTGGCTTCGTTTGCCCATGAAAAGTCAAAAAACATATTCCTGCCACATTTTTTGGCAAATGATGGTTGATGCTGGTTGTATCCCATGATGGCCATAGGTCAAAAATGCTGCTATGCTTCTGTCCACCAAAAATAGCTGGGATGGATCTTCATAGCCCTAAGATATCTAAGATGTGGTAAGCTGTGAAACCGAAAACCATCCGGAGTCGACCATAAATTCATGTTGCCAATGGCAGTCCTGACCACCAGTGTCGCAAGAATTTGGGTGGTCTCCCTGCCCCGGAGGGGGCCTCATCCAACCAATACCCACCTTCTCCCCATTTCTCCTGATGTGCATCCCAGCTAGTTGGTGACTAACCACACAACTGTACAACCCAGTTCCTAGTAAAAAGAGGAGTATTCTCACTTATATATGGCTTACATGTGTATATATATATATACACATTATACATACGCATGTATTTACTGGCTCTCTCACACTTTCAGGGATGCACCCTTAAGTACATTTTTGAGTTTCTGTAGCAATGACCAGTTTCTTACCATGTCACCTTGTTTCGCTGTGATTTCTGTGGCTTTTAAGCTGTCAGGAAATGCCACGAAAGCCGTCCTGGTTTCCGCTACGCGCATGACCCGCACTCTGCCCTGGCTGCGTCATGGGGATCGTTGGGCTGCGTCCCCGTTTGGTGCGGAAGATGTTTGTCATACCCTTCGATTTCTGTGGATTATACCATATCCCAGGTGCTCCATGTGTGGTATATTTAGCAACATGTGCCCTAAGAATCACCCAAATGTAGGTATATATACCAGCACCATGGATCCTATGGGTATGGCTTGTTAATATGGTTTATAATCCACTGGGATGCACATCCAGGCCGCCCAAGTGGGGAACCAGCTCCATTTAGATACACATCGCAAAGCAATCAGAAGGATTTCTTGATCTCGATCCGGCATTTTCCCATCAGGTCAGAGAATTGGGGCTTTGATTTCAAGTTTGGCCACTTGGTCAAACTAAGTGGCCCCCAAAAAATGGATGGTTTCACACTCAACGTCACCACTTTTGTAGATCCAAAATGCTCCACTAGTACAGGGTTGGTGGTCCTGAAGTGAACTATAGCAGTGGAATATTGATGCTTATAGATTCCGACATCAGAGTGAAAGTTCCAGGAAAATCGGTCTGAAATCACCCTTTTGAGTGGTTGAATTATGCTGAATAGTGTTGAATTGCAAACTCCTCAAGCCTCCAAAAGGCTCCAAACGCTGTAGACCTCTCCATGCACCACGACCTGCACCGTCCGGATCGATGATCAGAGCCACTGTGGGTCTGGAATGATGCGGGAAACCCGGTACGTTGCGATGTTGATCGTCTGCTAAAAAAGTGAAAGTGAGATATTTGGTAAACCCATATATGCCCAGACAAGCTCTCAATGAAAGTGTACAAGCTGGTGCCCAGTGTACAAGCTGGTGCCCAATTATAAGTTGGTTTATAAGTTTATGACTTATGACCCCCTATCCACCTCTATTCACTATAGATAAAGCTACCATAAACCTAACAATTATTGGAGTTCTGCTCCCCAACTTAGGTGGCACCCGGCCTGTCGCGGTTTGGGCACCCGCGTGGCGCGCTCGCCCAAGCGTAACATGCGGTAGTACTTCTTTTGCCACTCCTGTGGCCAAGTGGGGAACCTGGATGCACAAAACCCAAAGTTTGGGTGCTCAAACTTGGCTGGAAGATCAACGAAATGAAGGATTTAAATTGGGAACATCAACTATAACTGGAGGATTTTCCTTTGCCATGTCTGAAAACTGGAGGGTACCCTCTGGTAAACTAACATAACTATGGAAAATCACCATGTTTATATAAAAGGTAAATCAACTATAAATGGCCATGTTCAATAGCTATGTCCGATTACTGGAGGGTAATCTTCACAGTGTCGATTCTCCTCCGTGAACATCTCCAGCTCATCTGGAGCCTTGTAACCTGGGCGGTAAATCAATAGGATCCACCCTCAAAAAGCATCCCCGATGACATACCCCATGACTTTGTGGATTGAAACTCTGAATCAATATATATATATATACATATGTACGTATATACATACATATGTATATATACATATGTATATATACATATGTATATACATATACATATACATATACATATACAGATACAGATACATATACATATACATATATATATATATGTGGTTTATGACATTGCTTTACTAACATTAGAGTTGCTGCCATGGGACCAACGTAAGCCACTCCAACACTAATGGCTTTCTTGTCCTACAGCAAGCACGGTGCTTCGTGCAGTTCCAGTCTCCATAGAGGGAGCCCCAGAGATCCAAATTAGATAGATAGATAGATAGATAGCTTTGTATCTACCTCAGGAGAATCCTACTGGGAAAGAATTGACGCGACAGTGCGAGGACGAACTACTTGCTACATGCAGGGACTAAGTCTTCCCGCACGATATAATCCCACTACCGGTGGGATAATATCATGGGATAATGATCGGATAATGTTAAGAAATCACTCCAGTGGCTGGTTCATTGGGGCCATTTTGGTAGCCAATGATCACCACTTTGGGGGAACCCCAAAGTAGACCCTCTGGTAATCAAACATGGTAATGGAAAACCCCTTGTTCATAGATGATTTTCCCTGTAACACCTCCATTTAGTTCGTGGTGAAAATCGGCTACTACGTTGAACGAGGCCGGCAGAGGGTATTTTTTTGGATGGTTCAAAACCTATGAAATTACCATATTTGGGGAAATCATAATCCATTGACCAGCTGTTTCAGGGCCTTAGGGTACCAGGGTTTTGACCCATAGCCCTATCAACTTTGGTCTCCTTGGCGACAATTGCCCCCATCATCCCGGGCAAATGCCGACGTCCTTAGCTTGAGATGCCATGGACAGCAAGGCATCAGGCAGTTCGACTTGATCTCGCCCCACGGCACTGCTCCTGCGGTCAGATCTGGTGAAATCTCATCTGGAATCAATACATTTCGCCAACACACCTGGTTTGAAATAAAAAGCTCTTGACGTAGTTGGTGAAGCAAGATACCTGCCACAGAAGCTCATCAGTCGGTATGAACATCTTCGCTTTTTGGCAGGATTTACCACTGCTGTTAGCCAGAAATTCCTACAACCAGTTACTAGTGGAGGCAGCCTGCTTGAGTGGTTGTATCACAAGATAGCTCTCAACTCTCACGCAAGTGAAGAGGTGCGAGTCAGACAGGTCTCAGGGCTCTCGGGGTCTCTGTTTCCACTTGGGGTTGTCTCAGAATTGTGGATACACCAATTCATGGCTATCTATTAATGGGAAACTTTACTTTCTAAGCTCAGGGTTCATCCATTCTCCTGGTGATATGTGAAAATCAGAGAGATGAACGGAGGAACCTACTCTTGGTATCTTCATCTATGCAACCATAGCAGTCCCCCACAGAGAAACCATCAGAAGCCTGCGATTTTTCTCGACACTTGGAGGATCCCAACGTCCAATCTGCCGCCCCGTCTCCCGCACATGCACACGAAGATTGCACGTTGGTTCACCTGGATCTAAGTCAGAGATTTCCAGATCTCATCCGTGGCAGCCTTTAAAACACAACACATATGGTGGCAGGAAACATCAGGAAACTACATGGTACTTCGATGTTTCTATGTACAATTTGGGGTTGAGTTGATCCGCGAGTTTGCTCACCATGGATGTCCCAAAAAAACTGGAGCATCCAATGTGCACACGGTCAATGATCATCCAACCTCTAAACAGGGATTCGGGATTCGCTCATGAACACCTGATGATTGATATCATACAGATGGTACTACCATGTCAGGCCCTGGGAAACCAGCACCAGTCCCACCATAACTCCATGACTCAACATCCTGTCCCCAGAAAATGTTACTGTAACCACTGAGCTTGGAGATCCCATCGACAGATGAACTGTACCTGGAACTGTCGAGGCTCCCAAGTTCATCTGGTTGGTGGTTTTTCCCTACCCCTCTGAAAAATATGACTTAGTTAAAGTCAGTTGGGATGGATGGAACTTCCCAACTGAATGGAAAGTCATGAAAAATTCCATGGTTCAAATTCTATGGTTCCAAACCCTCCACCAACCAGTCATTCTTCCGCGCCCGCGAGTCGATTCGCCTGCTGAAACCACTCGGGTTCGATTTCAGGATCCGGCTTCTCCTGACCATCACAAGTCTGGCTGGTACTGGTACCTGAAATGAATGAAAAAAGAGATAGTATCTCTGGTCATTTCTTAACGATGGAAAGATCCACCATTCTGAATGGTTAAATCAAGGATTTCGAGCTGGGCCATCCCAGTTCGCTATGTTTTTTATGACCAGAGGCTAGAAATCATCCCGAATCGTCCCCCAGAATCCAGATCTGCCAGAACATCATTCTGCCAGGCCATACCCTCTGGTTACATAATGGTGATTTAATGGTGATTTAATGGGATATAATGGGGATTCAATGTGGTTACCCGGCCTGGTCAACATTTACATATATAACTATGGAAAGATCCACCATTTTCTAGCTGGGTAAATCCACTATTTCGACTGGGTCATGTTCAATAGCGAACTGTCAACGTTTACCGGAGGGTATATAAATGGTGGTCCAAATAGGGACATGTTTGGTGTTTGCCCTGACTACCCTCTGTTTTCCAAAAACCCAAAAACCCAAAAATCTCGGTGCTCTTCGATCGCCCGTCGCCCATCGTCCCAGGGCATCCACACGGTCTCACGCATGATGGGCCCCAGCAACGCTTGACGCTTCCGAGCCAAGTGCCTCAGCCGTGCCGACGTGAACCCCGTGGCACAGGAAGACGTGGCGATGTTGCAGGCGTTACACGGTGCCAAAGTAAAATGGGGAATGCCAAGTAAAGCTGGGGAACTTGATAAGAAAATGAAAAAATATATAGATCTATAGATCTGTAGGACATTGAATCAGGTGTCAAAACGTGTTTTTTTCTGGGAAAACCTGTCAATTTGAATGCGGAAGCCAGGATATTTTTTACCATACTCCAGCAAGTCCACTACTTCCAGCAATAGGGTGATCTTGATTCATTGGAGGGGAAATGGGGGAAACTCATGGGATACTGTACTAATGGGAAACGTGGGAAATTTTGATAAATTTGGTACAACGTGGGGCCCCCGTTTACGATAGCGTTCAGTTGGTGAACATAACTCCAAATTCACTATGGTTTATGGTACGCAAATAACTATAGTTACTGAAACCAACTTATAACTGGGGGGGCACATTGTATGATTGCAACCTGGTTTTCGCAATCGGCTTTGCAACATTTTGCGACACTTTGTTCCTGTGCCCTCAAACGCTCTCCAGCAACGCAACTGCTGTGCACTGAATGGCCACGTGCAAAGACCTAGCTACACAAATGCCAAGCGGTCTGCAGCCGCAGAGCTGTCACCACCATTAGCTGGAGCGCCCCAAGTCACAATTGATCCATCTGCCAGGATTGCGATAAATGCCTGTCCAGACGCTTGAATCTGTCGGACACCTTTCAGCTGATCTCGCACGCGAGAGCTGTCACCACCATCGAATGCACTGCCCCAAGTCACAACTGACCCATCGGCCAGGATTGCAGCAAATGCACGTGTCGTTGCTTGAATCTGTTGAACATCCTTTAGCTGATCCCAGACGTCAGAGCTATCACCACCAGACTGTGGCGCGCCCCAAGACACAACTGACCCATCGGCCAGGATTGCAGCAAATGCATAGTCTGTTGCTTGCACAAGTTGGACACCTTTGAGCTTTTCTTGGACGAGAGAGCTGTCCCCACCAAAATGAGGATTGCCCCAAGTCACAACTGACCCAACCGCCAGGACTGCAGCAAATGCGTCTTTCGTTGCTTGAATCTGCTGCACATTTTCTAGCTGATCCCAGATGTCAGAGCTATCACCACCATGATGTGGGTCGCCCCAAGTCACAATTGACCCATCTGCAAGGATCGCAGCAAATGCAAGCGATGTTGCTTGAATCTGTTGGACACCTTTGAGCTGATCTCGGACGCGAGAACAGTCACCACCACCAAATGGACTACCCCAGGTCACAACTGACCCATCGGCCAGGATTGCGGCAAATGCATTTTTTGTTGCTTGAATCTCCTTGACACCTTTCAGCTGATCTCCGACGCGAGAGCTGTCACCACCCTCGAATACACTGCCCCAAGTCACAACTGACCCATCGGCCAGGATTGCAGCAAATGCACGTGTCGTTGCTTGAATCTGTTGAACATCCTTTAGCTGCTTCTTCACGTTAGAGCTATCACCACCAGACTGCAGTGTGCCCCAAGTCACAACTGACCCAGTGGCCAGGATTGCAGCAAACGCACCCGACGTTGCTTGAATCTGTTGGACACCTCTGAGCTGAGGTTGGACGTGAGAGCTGTCACCACCAGAAAATGAACTGCCCCAGGTCACAACTGACCCATCCGCCAAAATTGCGGCAAATGCATCTTGTGTCGTTTGAACCTGTTGGACACCTTTGAACTCTGGGATGCGACCATGGGGGCCACGTTCTGGACTGCCCCAAGTCACAACCTGGTCGCCTTCGCAACAAAACAGCGCGATACAATTCGCAGTTGCCGCTACCTTGGCCTCTCTGGCAATGGCTGTCAGGTGGTCTCCTTCTTTGAGTTCTACAGCTTGCAGAAACTCCTCAGGATGCAACACACGATTCTTTGTGTCCACAAGCTTCAAAAAGCCAAGTTGAAAGAATTTCTGCGCCAGAAGCCGTAAGTCCCCTACTTTGGAGGACTCCGGAAGTTCAAATGTCTCCGCGCGACCGCTCGGTATAGCTACACTGACACGAAGCATCATAAACACAAATTTACGTATTCAAACATGTCAACACTCAAAGTTCCTCCCATTAATCTCAAGCCAAACTGCCAATAATTGCCACCCTTTTCACGTTGTGAAAGAAAAGCTTTTTCCGGCTTGGATCGTTAGCGGTTAGCGCAACATGGATCCACCAGAGCGATGTATCTTGCCCAAAAAACATCAAGATTATGCAATGAAAATCGATGGAAGTCATCAGGATTAGACATCTGATATCTCAGTCAGATGTCATCAGGGACATCGTACAAGGCCCTTGCAATCGAAACAGCGGGACTGGAGCATTCCCCAGGAATCCATAGGAATCCCATCCCACTCCGGCATCTGTGGTCTCTGGCTCTTGCAGAGCTTTTCCTGCTGCATTCTCCTCGGGTGAAGTCAGAAGTCTTTAAACATTCAAAAGTGTCCCATGGTCAAATCCCATGGGAGTCGTGGTCTTTTTTGTCACAAAAATCCCATGCCGGGTCGAGATTTTGATTGCGGGCCGCGCCTGGTCCATCTGCAGGAACTTCCGGATGTCCCGCTGCGCCTGTTTGAAAAGTGGTGAGAATTCACCCCCATGGATTGCGGTTCGTGGGCTGTCCTCGAAGCTTTTCGAGAAAAATGCTTCGGAGCGGCCCAAGATGTGGGAAAGCTCCACCCAAAAATTTGGGGCTCAAAATCTTCCAGGCCCATTCTTATCTTTGGGACCACTTGGAGGTTCCCTCTTGACCACTCAGGGTGTGAGACGCCGGAAATTGAAGATGGAGAGGTCAATTTGTGCAGGAGATTATATTTCTTGGGTACCCAATCTCCATATTTTGGTTGGTGTCCAGCACTTTTGTTCGCAGAATCCTGACTCTTGGAGTAGTAGAGTAACCGCGCCATTCGCGGGAGTCTTGGAGCGTCATTTGTTTGAATCCTCCAATTCTGGCTGAATTATATACTCTCTGGTAAGTTAACGTAGCTACGGAAAATCACAATGTTTAATAGGTAAATCATCATAAATCATCTCAACATGGGCGATTTTCCTATGCTAAATAACCAGAGGGTACAGTATAGCAAAATAGATCCTATAGATTGTCAGAATCCCAGGCCACCATTCCATCTTTGGGTAGGTGGGGTTTCCAAACGATAGCTAAGTAAAAACAACTGAATTAAACAAGGTTGTATGGCAAGTAAAACAGTAGTATAACCATACATCATGGGCTTTATAAACCAACTTGGGATTATAAATCGACTTTCTAGTTCATGCCCCCCTAGTTGTAGATTAAAATCACGATTGACCCTATAGAGAAATCGAGCCTAGAACTGCATGGTGCCACCTTCCTCTGATTTGACGCAACGTCCCGCAAGTTGTACTCTCAGCGACCTGGCCTGCGCCAGAATAGCGTCCGTGCCTTTCACCTGCAGCGCGAGTCAAAGATCATGCCATGATTTTCACAGATTTTCACACTTGTTCACCATTTTTCATGGGGGCTTTTCATCCATATCTATCCCAATTTCTTGATGTTTCTTGATATCAACTGGCCAGCAACACCACATGGTCCACGTAGTCAAAGGCAGCTGTTGCCCTCCTCCGCGAAAGGTCTCAGGATCCCAGTGGATCCAGTGCTAGGATTTCGACTTTGAAAGGTGTCAGTACTTGGATCATCCCGCACCAGTGTGAACAGCCATAGTAACCCAGCTGGGATAACCATGGATAACCCCACGAATCAGGGTTTTTTGATGAAAACCACCGTTCTGAAAATTCATGTTAGATGATCCACCAAGTAAGCTACCAGCGTTTCGGCCAGCTGAAATATGAACGTTGGCAAAGTGCTATGCCAAAAAAACTCGAAAGAATTTACGATGTGGGCAAATTTTACCAGTACAGTCACTCATACTTAATCCAAAAAAGTTTTAATCCTCGAAAATGAGCAACTGTGAGCACCCCTGCGCTATCTCGAAGGATAAGAACTGCGCTCGCTGCTTACACCCTCTTCCTCATCACCCTTCAACATGGCGGGCCGCACCAAGTCGGCGCTTCAAGATTGCTGGTTGTCATGTCACTTTGGTGCATGAACATCTGGGCAACGGGTTCATCACCATCATCATCATCATCACCACCATCATCATCATCATCATTATCATCATCATCATCTCAACTTCAAGAATCGATGTTAGCCATCAAAGTTGGGCCACTGGGCAAAGTTTCCATGGAAAAACGGTTGTGTCTCATCCGATCCTCTCCTGAAATAGGCTTTGGCATTGCTGGGGTTGGCATCGATGGCCAAACTGCATCTCTGGATGGCCTCGAGAGGCGTGTGCGCTTAGCGCTTATTAGGCTGGGTTGCATCAACTACTAGGACACTCCATCTGACCAGGGGGATCGAACCATGTATATATATATATATATAATATTTATATATATATATATTATTATTATTATTATTTATTATTATTATTATTAGTATTATTATTATTATTTATTATTATTATTATATATATATAATAGTTATATATATATGTATTTAATAGTTGTATATATTTAATAGTCAAATTGTATTAAGTTAGATCATACTACAGTATTTTATATATAATATACATATATATTGTACTAAATCATATTATATACAGTCATAATAGTGCTGTAACCCGAGATCATCAGATCAACCAGGGTCCCAAACACTTCCCCTCTGAACCACCATGCTGATGGCATGGCAATGGAGACTCCATGGCTGACCGAGGTTCATAGCAGCTTTTTGATTTGTGGACTATGCTCATTTGCCGGGACAAGTAGGTTAATGGCAAGAATCTGGCTGCCTCCAAATCCTCCAAAAAATCAGGGCATACCCGTGTGACCAAGCAAATTTTTCAAGGCATGCAGCGATAAATTCTGCTCACAACCTTCAGGTTGAAACATCTTGACCATGTACCCAACAATGTGACTACCCTCTGGTAAACTAACATAACTATGGAAAATCACCATTTTCTAGCTGGGAAAATCCACTATAAATGGTCATGTTCAATAGCTATGTAACAAATTACCAGAGGGTATCTCAAAAAAAGAAATGATACCCCTGCCACTGGGACCGTAATGAAATTATGTGCCAACCGTTCCATTGCCATGGCTTGCATTCAATGTTTGTATACAACTCCTCCGTCATCACTGTTCTTTATCAGTCCAAACTGAGTGTCTATATAACTCATCAAGACAATCAGAGAGTCCATGGAAAAATGAAAAAAAAACATATGTAATCTTTACCCTCTGGTAAACTAACATAACTATGGAAAATCACCATTTTTTTATGGGAAAACTCACTATTTCTATGGTCATGTTGCAGTTCGCTATGTAACAAATTACCATTTCGGGTAGATCTGCCCAGTGAACGGGGTCGAAATCCAACCTTGGATAGCTGCCGAATCGAAGGATCCAAATACCTCCGCAGCCGCGTCGCCGAAGTCGACCATCTACTGGGGATATCTCGAAAGTCGATCTGGGCAAATTGTACCCTCTGGTAATTTATTACAGTTTGCTATTGAAAATGGCCATAGAAATAGTGGATTTACCCATTGAAAATGGTGATTTTCCATAGTTATGGGACAGTTTACCAGAGGGTAATCTGGGGGATTATACAATGTAATAACCCTTGATCAAGAAAATCCCTTTTTTTTAAGAAACTCAAAGGTTTGTAGAGAAAATGTATACAGAACCCTGTACTGGTTGGTGGTATACCTACCCCTCTGAAAAATGATGGACTTCGTCAGTTGGGATGATGAAATTCCGAACTCAATGGGAAAATAGACAAATGTTCCAAACCACCAACCAGATAATTTAATAATGTAATGACCTAGGATATTATAATAATTATCATCTAACGTATGTATGTATGCATACATATATATATATATACAATGGGCAAATTATAGTAATTCACTAACCTGAAATGTTCAGCCATTTTGGGATGATTCCTCTATAAAAGCCATGATTCCAGGGCTCGGGAGACTGTCAACTGAGTTTCCACACACTGACTCCAACTGACTCTAACTTCTTCAGTTTCTAAGCTTTGGAGCCAGTTGTAACACCTAGTTTCTAATTTGTATGTTCACTAGCCCATTGTGGCTGAAAAATGTCGTTTCCAGGCAAGTAAATACATCATACAAGGTTGGTCTGCATTAGTATCCGATGGTATACCTGTCACTTTCAGTGGTCGTAAGGGCGTGTCTGAAAATGGCCCATACATCCAACATAGCAATTTGAGGCACTGGGATGTAGGGGCATTGCGTCTCGGATGTAGTGTGTACAAACATTTACCCTCCGGTCATCAAACGTCGGACGGGGAAATCTCGAACGGAACTGGAGATTTCGTTTTCCAGTTGAGCACCATTTTTAGACTGCGCATGACTGGGTCACATTGGGTCACTGCATATCAAAATGATCTCTCCCCATGTTTAGAGACTTAAAAAACATTTGGTGGTTGAATCCCCCTACAAACACCCCTACAGAACACTCTACAACAGTCTCCTTTATGGCTTTATATCAATTTACATCCATTTACACATGTTGGTAGTATTTTTTTTGTCTATATAATTTATATCAATTTACATATCTATAGCCTTAGATCATAAATCGATCCCCATCTCTGGCAGTCAAGCCCCACGGGGGAAGAATCCCCGGAAGTCTCGTCCCGCGCACATCTGCGCCGCGTTGGCTGCCAAGATGGACAGCAACTCTCGGCCCTCCGGGGTCTGTTGCTCGAAAGCCTGGCGAACTCAGGGAGGTTGAGCTGCCCGGAATCCCAATATCAGCCACATAAGTCTATTTATGTATATCCCTATGGATCCATGGCCACTGTCTGAGCATACCCCAAAATACTTCTTAAGGAGGTACTTGGATCCATAGGATATGTATATACAGTATATATGATTTCTGGAAACGGTACATGTCTATCCATGAACAACATCGCAATTTCTGGATTATGTATAATATCTGTATGCATACCGATTTTCCTAGCCAATTGGCAATGTTTTCGGTAACTCCAAAATGAACCCAACCCAAAATGAAGCCTAAACCAGGCCTCATGTCAACCAGAAAATAAAACTGTCCCAAGTTCGGTGATTTTGACACCGCCTAGCAGGCCCTCGCCCAAAATGAAAAGAGACGCTCACGCCGAAGCAACACAGCAGATTGCAGTCCCGCATGGAATTCTGTTGATTGCAGATAAACGTCTACTCAGAGTATATACCCTCTGGTAAACGTTTACATAGTGAACTGGAAAATCACCATGCTATTAATAGGTAAATCAACTATTTCGACTGGGCCATTTACAACAGCAAACTGTTAGTTTACCAGAGTATGTAATTGTTTAACAAACATACGGGGAAATTCCCAACCACGTTTTGATTACAGGAGGCTTGTTGTTACTCCTCCAACTCGGTTGAAAATGCTGTTGATTGCTTCAGCAAAATTGAAGATACAACCGCTATCTGGGTCTTTGCTCAAATCACTCAGAGCTAGGATCAAGTATTTAGATACCCTCTGGTAATCTAACATAGCTATGGAAAATCACCATTTTTAATGGGAAAATCCACTATAAATGGCCATTTTCAATAGCTATGTTAGTTTACCAGAGGGTATCCTTCCTTTGGGTAGTCATTCAAGATTCCACATTTTACCCCGCCAGCCTTGTGTCATCTTATGTCACCCAGAGCTTTGGAATTTGTAAAGGGCGAGCAAGGTGGAAACCAATGGAGCTTTCCGCAGAACCCGCAACCAGTTGTCCCTTCATACTGGTTCGTTAGGAACGGGATTCCTGGTTTCCGGAGTGTGAGAGTCTCCGATATATCTAATCCTAGTATAACTCAGCATAACCCCCCAAATAAATCATTTAACGGGGCTCTTGAACATTGCTGATATGAAAAAGAATGGTGGTACATGTCGAAAAATTGGAACCCAGCAGGCCCAGCAGGCAGCAATCCGCTGCCTTTAAGCCATCATCATCCAGCTCGTAGTTCAGCAGACCTGCGCGGAGAAAAAAAACTCTTTTCCAACCTCTAAGGGTGGTCGCCCCAAGACATGACATCGAAATTGTTATAATCTGTGTACGATGTGTATATATATATACATACATACATATGTGTGTACATGGCTTATAATATAATACATAATATAATATATAATATGTTTAAGATTAATAGTAGATATATATACATATATGTGTGTATGTATACAGTATACAACAATATCACAACCGGACATCGTATCAAAATTATATCCCACTCCAAGATCAGCAAGTTGCCACAGGGACCTAAAAGGCGAATCCCCTTCTCGTACTTTTTGAGAGCCTGGCTCCGGAGTGGGGAACCAAGTTGAAGAAACCCTGAGGTTTTCGAAGCAAACTTAAAAAAGAGATGGATTTCAGCAACAAAATCCATAGAAATCCCCAGGCATAGACATGTCGTTATCCATCTGTGAATGGGTCATGCCAGTATGGGAATATTGGTTATATATATATATATATCCAACTATGCCAGCACTATCTTGGTCTGAAAGAGAGGGCACCAGGGTCCTTACCATTCCTATTATTCGTTTTATATAGAAGTCTCATTACATAAAGAAAAGTAATCAAATCTTGGGGTATCTAAGTTTGAGCAAAACTCGATTACTATGAACGTCCTGCCTCAGCTTTGTCCCCAAGCTTGGCCAAGTCATTTCCTTCCTCCTGCCAGATCCAAAAAAAAGATAGCCTGGTGGTTTTTACCATCTTGAAAAATCATGGAGTTCGTCAATGGGAAGGATGACATCCCATATCTTACGGAACATGAAAGATGTTTGAAACCACCAACCAGATATCCCATTAATATCCCATAAAATCCCCATTTTGATCATCAGGAGTTGACATCAGCCTTCCAGGCAAACCTCTGAGGTCACAAATGTGTGTTGAAATCTCTGCTGCCGCATGGTCCTTGAGGGCCTTGGCCTGGGACATGTCAAAAGAAACAACTGGGGCGCGGTTTTTGTCGTGATGACCGTGAAATAGTGGGAAAAATCATTGCCAATCTTAGGTACCCTGCAAAAAACAACATTCTTTGCTGGTTACAGATATTCCCATTGATACCAAAAGACTAAAGGATAAAAGTATCCATCTAAGATTGACCTAGAAATATGGACAAATCCATGGATCATAGACCAATGGAACCAGGGAATTCCATTGACATTCCGCCGCAAGGACTTGGGCTGAAGACTGAACAACCGAACAACCTGAACCAAAAAAAACAGTGGAGAGTTTCACCCTGGCCACACTGCCACAATTTGGGTTTCTGGACTTTGGAAGACTGCGAAAATGAAGCTTCACTGCCATAGAAGCCAAAGCAAGCAGAACCATGGCATTCACATGGACTGCCATTTCGGGTGCCATTGAGTTTTGTTCCTTAATTAACATCCTCAAAAAATGAGTGAAATGTTGGTTCATCCTCGTTCGTGAAATAACAGGAAGCAAGAACTGATGGAAACAACTTCTTCAGTCAGTTTACAGGCGCCAAGGAAACAGTCTCTCAGCATCGCTGGAACGCCAGAACAACACAACTGGTTGGTGGTTAATATACTGTTAATAATGGTTAATATTAATGATTAATGATGGTTAATGATGGTGAATAATAATCTGGTTGGTGGTGCGTTTTAACCATTTCGAAAAATGATGGAGTTCGTCAATGGGAAGGATGACATCCCATATATGAAATGGAAAAATAATCCAAATGTTTGAAACCACCAACCAAATAACATTTCCATACACAGGGTCCGTCTCGAAATTTCGACCCCTCAACTCTTTCGGTCCATCCATGATTTCGGTAACCCCAACTGACTGGTGCGTTTTACGTAGGGTTGCTGGATGGGTTGCTGGGGGTTGCTGGGATGATGACATTAATAGTTAGCCAGTGGATCATTCCCGAAAATTCCCTGCGAAAATAGCACCAGTAAGCCAAATGAAGAAAATCCCAATTTTCAGAAAGTGCCATCCCAATGTGCGTGTTTCAACGGCCATGGATGTCATCCTTGTCAGCGCTCCAGCGCCCCCAGGGCGCCTGCGCTCTTTTGGCATCCGGCGTTACGGCCTGGAGGACAAAACGGATGACACAACGGCAGTGGATGGCAAGTGGATTCCACAATGGACACAACATGGTGATGCCACATGGTGAAAATGTATGAACATGGATATATATATATATAATTATATATATATATATATGGGACAGGATGTGATATCACTGAACCATACTTAACCAATAGATCAATAGGGATCTGGGATACTTAACTGTGACTTTTCATCGACCGCGCCTGCAACATCTATGCCGCAGTCGCAGTCTGCCATGGTTCTGCCATGATTGTTTTCTGGGTTCAAGGTCTGAAAAAAAACCTGAGAAAACATGGATGAACATGGTACCATCTGGTTATGACTAACAGTTCGCCATGGAAAATCCCAATTTTATAGCTAGGTAAACTATCTATTTCTATGGGCCATCTATCAATCAATGGGCAAACTATCTATCAATTTTTAATAACTAAACTATTAACTTTCACGAGATCCACCCGTTTGGCCGAAATAAGTGTGCATACTTCTGTTTTCATCTCCCACAAGCCAGAAGTGTGCACAGAACTTCCCTTTCCTCTCCGGTAGAAAAAAATAAAGAAATGTCCAGAATTCCACTGAAATTCACGAGAGGTTCAGTGGTTCAGAACGCCAGCAAGTGCCAGAAAGCCCATATATTACATATATTAATTATATTAATATATTATTACATTACTATATGACTATATTATCTAATATCATATTTTGATATTATACTACTATATTATTGAGAGTGGTAATTTTCCGCTTTGAACAGAATTCTAACAAGTGACCTGGAACACCCGTTTTTGATCGAAAAACGGGGTCTCCAGGTCACTTGTTTCAAGGGGGGTTAAAGCCAAGGAACAAACCAAAGCGAAGCGGAAAATTGCCAATTGAGAGTTCTATTATATTAAAATATAGTATATCATAATAAATTAAATTAAAATGTTATATTATATTCTATTATATTATACTATATTATATTAAATATTAATTTATAATCATATCATTTCATATTATATCAAAAATTATTATATTATATTATAAATAAGGCCAAAAAGAAAATGAAGGTTGCTAAATTTCCACTTGGGTTGGTTCACCAAAAAGACAAAGTCACACCCAAAAGATTGGCTCAACATGGCCCTAAATATTTAAGATTCATTGTTTATATTGGCATCATTTATGTCACGAAATAATTGGTTGATCCTGCCCCAGAACCAGCCCGACAGGGAACTCATAAAATTAGAAGATATATAATTGTTGGTATCACATCACACAGCAACATTAACCATAAAATAGTCTAATAATGATATGATATGAAATGGTATGATATCATTCGTCATTAGCATCAACAGTTCACAGTCCACACACTGGACTGGTGATACCAAGACCAACTCACTCTAAACCAACTCGCGATGAAGTGGTCCTGTCAGGACCAACACGTTCTGCAATTAAAAGGGCCCGGCCCTGCCAGAACCAAATGATCTTACCAGGACCAGCATTTCATGACCAAAATAGTCCTGGTAAGACCATTGTGGTCCTGGCCGGACCACAACTGGCAATTATGGTCCGGCCAGGACCACAACTGGCAATTATGGTCCGGCCAGGACCACAACTGGCAAGTTGTGGTCCGGCCAGGACCACAAGTACCAAAGAAGTTAAAACACAAACGAGCATGGTCATGCACACTTCTTTTGGTTTGTTTTAGACCTGCGCACACTTATTTTGGAACTATTTTGGACTTGTGCACACTTCTCTTGTGTGAGCTGGTCATGTTACAACAGTTGTGGTCCGGCCAGGACCACAACTGGCAATTATGGGCCTGGTCGGACCACAATTAGCAATGATGGTCTTGGAAGGACCACAACTGGCAAATGTGGTCCGGCCAGGACCACAACAGGCAATTATGGTCCGGCCAATACCATAATTGCCAGTTGTGGTCCGGCCAAGACCATAATTGCCAATTGTGGTCGGGCCAAGGCAATAATGGTCCTGTCAAGACTGGCCAAGACCTGTATGGCCTTCCCAAAACCATCATGGTCCTGCCAGGACCAATTCAGTTTTAAGTGGTCCTGGTAGGACCACTTCACCCTGGAACGATCCCGCCAGGACCAACTCATTCTGAATTGATCCTGCCAAGGCCAATTCACTTTCAATTGGTCCTGGCAGGACCACTTCACTCTGAGATAGTCTTGCCAAGACAAACTCACTCTAGTGGTTCTGGCAAGGCCACTTCACTCTGGGATGCTACTGTTTCAACTAAGTTTTATCTATCAATTAATTCAATGTAATTCCGGGTAAAGTACACCCTTCTTACCTGGAGATGTTGAAAGTCCCATGGCCAGAATTACATTGAAAATTTTGATTTGTGTCAATGTAATTCCGGGTAAAGTACACCCTTCTTACCTGGAGATGTTGAAAGTCACATGGCCAGAATTACATTGAACATTCTTATTTTTTCAAAGTAATTCCGGGTAAAGAACACCCTTCTTACCTGGAGATGTTGAAAGTCCCATGGCCAGAATTACATTGAACATTCTTTTTTTTCAATGTAATTCCGGGTAAAGTACACCCTTCTTACCTGGAGATGTTGAAAGTCCCATGGCCAGAATTACATTGAAAATTTTGATTTGTGTCAATGTAATTCCGGGTAAAGTACACCCTTCTTACCTGGAGATGTTGAAAGTCACATGGCCAGAATTACATTGAACTTTTTTTGTTCAATGTAATTCCGGGTAAACACCCTTCTTACCTGGAGATGTTGAAAGTCCCATGGCCCTTTACCATATATCTGTCCACCACCCCTCTGATTTGTTGGATCTGCAAACTGCATTGATTTGCGTCATTAGGTGTCCCAAAACACATAAACTACTGAGGGCACACTTGTGCACACTTATTTTTTCTTATTTTTCTGAAAGTTGCAGATTCTTCACTCACGAAAGTTAATAAACTAAACTATCTATTTCTATGGGCCATCTATACCATGGCTATGTTAGTCATAACCAGATGCTACATTGCATGAAACTCCAAGGTTTCGGAAATATCTGGGCATTTCTCAAGGTCGTGGGCTCAACGTTGGTTCCATAGGTGTCCCTGCTTGCCATGTCCATTCCGCATCATCGCAGCTGAAGCTAGAGCCAAGATGTGGCATGTTGTTGCGACCTTGGGAACTCGCGGACCTGGGATCTGTGACCTTTCTTCAAATCAGTTGTTCAAGTGGATCCAGATCTGAAAATGGTCAAACTTTACCCTCTGGTATAAACTAACAGTTTGCTATTGAAATGGCCATTTAGTTCGTTGATTTACCCATATAAAAAATGTGACTTTCCATAGTTATGCCATGTTATGCCAACGTTTACCAGAGGGTATTCCCTTGTATCGGGTTGTATGAAAACAGGATCCCCCCCACTTCATCCCCCTCAGAAAACAAGAATGTCTCATGACTCGCCAAAGCCATACTAGGTTTTTGCCTGAACATGACTGTAAATTTAGTTCGTTGATTTGCCCATAAATATGCTAGTTTACCAGAGGGTATCCACATTGAATCCCCATTATATCCCAGCAAATCACCATTATATCACCATTAAATCACCATTATGTAACCTCCTGGCAGCTCAATGCGCATCACTTCCCTCCCAGTCGAGCACCGTTGAGAATCATGGGAGATGAAGCGATGCCGGTGTTCGCGCAGGTAGCGCAAGTGGACCAAGTTCCGCCTCGGCGTATCAAACCGGGAAGGGCTAGCGATCAACCATAATATCTGGTTGGTGGTTGACCTACCCCTCTGAAAAATATGAGTTCGTCAGTTGGGATGATGACATTCCCAACTGAATGGAAAAATAAAATTCATGTTCCAAACCACCAATCAGTATACATATATATATATACTGATTCTGATCCTGCAGGTTTTAACTTCAGTTTGGGCAAGTTCCAAAATATCCCAAATCATCTATTTCCTTGACCCAAGAACGACAGGCGCGCATAAATGTCCTGGTGCTTGCCATCTCAGCCCCCGAACCAGTCCAGTAGGAATAGTGGTAGAAAGACCACCGCCTCGATGGCATCAGATCCGCAAGGGAAATGGTCAATTATAATGGTATTGTTACGATCAACTTATTATTGTACTAGTATATATGTTATGACGTGAAAGGATGTGAAATGATGTGAAAATGGTTGTAGTATGTTATAGTATGTTATAGTATGTTATAGTATCTTCTAGTATCTTCTAGTCAAAATGCTTCCTTTGGCAAAATCTCAATTGATCAATGTGCCAATTTTGGATCAACTGAGGATGGTTGCATTGTCAATCTGAATGCCTCCTTGTTGGAATTTGCGCCAAGTGGCGCAACATGAAGCCATGCCCATCCATACCACTCCATACCAAAAAGAAAACCCATTTTATGAAGGTGAAAAATAATAATTATCCCTCATATGATTCAAAAATCTGGTAGGGTGCTATGATCTACACTTGGTTTTTTCCCTTGGTAAGTTTACCCATCAGACGCATCCGGTGTAGCATGGCCAGCAACTGCCTGGAACACCTGCACCCTGCGTGCCAAGGCACCCAGAGGATGGGGAATCCCACAGCACTTTCCGACCAGTTCCAGACGGCCTTGCCTGGGCGTGGATCCGTGGAGCCTTGGTGCCTGGTGATTTTGAAGCTTACCCTGTGGTAAACGTTGAGCTGCCTGGAGGCTTATCATCATGGTGATTTAATGGTGATTTAATGGTGATTTAATGGTGATTTAATAGGGATTTAATAGGGATATAATGGGATACAATGTGGATACCCGGCCTGGTAAACGTTTACATAACTATGGGAAATATCACATATATTTGTTTATGGGGAAATCAGCGATTTCTAAATAGCCATTTTCAATAGCAAACTGTTGGTTTACCAGAGGGTATCATCCATGACCTGGGGACCTGGATAACTCACAAGGGAACTCCTGATGATATATGGACACTTGAATGGACAAATTATGATGAACCACGGGATTTTAGGCTTTGAAGTCAGACAATCCCAATACGGGTTATGATGATCTACCCAGTTTGGGCTTACCACGGTTGAACCATTCTACCAACTATATAAGGCAATAATAATGAATGAATCCCATCCCCGCAATTAAAACAACCATCCGTTTTTTAAACGCCAACAGGAATCATTTTTGTGCATTCCACGAGAGTTTCTGCAGGGCATTCATGGGGGGATAAACCATACGGCATAGGATGACCAAAGCTGGATAGGATCTCCTCTGCAGGTCATCTGACAGTTTCAGGCTGAAATGACCCACTTGCCAACTCAGTAAACATCACTGGTTGGTGGTGCAATTTCACCATCTTGAAAAATATGAAAGTCAATGGGAAGGATGACATCCCATATATTAATGTATATTATGGAAAATAAAAAAAATGTTTGAAACCACCAACCAGTCATGTTCCCTGCTTCCAAACTCCAAAAATCACCTGCGTAACGCCACTGCTAAATACCACCTGAAAACAAAGCGACTCCAAGCCCTGACTCTCAAGTTGCCTGAATCAAAGCGGCCGAAATCCGAACTTTTTCAGAGAAATTGAAGTCTTGACACAGCGCGGTCTACCAAACCTTGCGCTTTGCCTTTTGGAACTCCTAAGGAACTCCTAAGGAACTCCTTGGGGGTCGTCGACGTCAAAATTTTTCGGGAAGCCCCGAAGCCAAAAAGCTGGCCGTCGGTGCACTGTTCATGTGCACTCGGTCACCTTGATGGTTTCTGTAATCTCATGATAACTGCAGTTTTCCCCTTCGTATTGCTCCAGGAACTTTTCCGGCTCAGTGTAGTTCACCTCGACTTCCTCCTGCACATTTGTAGCAGTATGCAACAGGAGTATCTGAAATTTCTCTCACCGGCCTGCCTCCCAAACAAACAAGTCCCTTTCACGTGGACCCTCCCATGAAATATGAAGGCCCTTCAAAGACGTGAAAACCCACATCAAGAATCAGCAATGCTTGGGCCATGATGGTTTCCGTCTCCTCAACCGTCTCAGGCACCAAGTACTCTTCGAGAACATGAATGGTGATATTCTTGGTCCTGGAAATGAGGCAACAGACTGGCTCAGAAGAGGAGGAACCCTCGGACGCCCAATGCATGTGAGATACTGCAACCTATTCAACATGTCTGAGAAACAAACATTGAAGTGGGGCGGGGGCTGTTTTCAACAGTCGCGCATTCCAAAAACTATCCAGAATTGGAGTTACCGAGTTACCCACGAGTTGTCCAAAATTGCACGTACACTCAGTCAGCTAGAAGGGAGCATGTTCGAACATTCATCAATGCTATTGTACGGAGGCGTAACCTTCGCTCAAATCATTTCTCGACGTAGCACTTCCACATCCGAGGCTCTTGGTAACTAGTGCCCACATCACAAAGTCAGCAAAACCACGAATGCCGCATCAGTTTGTATAGACGCTGGCAAGAAATCATTCCCAAAAGCAACACTTGGCTTGACATGATGTGAATCCAAATGCAGAATGGCAAATCCGAAAACTTGGCAAGGAAACTTTGCCCAAAGGTGTGGATTTCATGATTTTCAGATTTGACATTTGACCGACATCACGCCATCTCCTGGGACTTTGGTGTTCGCACAAGTCTTGGGCTTTGCGCATGACGCGCTCCCAAAAGTCATCCAGCTCGGAAATCGGCACGCTGGAGACCTAATGCAGCAAGTGCAGAAAGCCAAAATGCACTATTGGTTGGTTTCAACCCCTCTGAAAAATATTAGTAAGTTGGGATTACTATTCCCAATATTTTTGAAAGTCATAAAAATGTTCCCATCCACCCATCAGAATATACAAAAAACCCTCCGGAAATCAAACACGGCTGCCTGGGAAATCCCCGAACCAACTGGAGGTTTCAATGGGAAAATCATCTACAAATAGGTGATCTTCCATTACCAGGCTTGATTACCAGAGAGTAAAGCTGGAACCACAAAATGTGTCACTGCCATTTTTGGAGGGAAACAATTTTGAGCCTGAGTGAACTGAGGATGCCCGTTATGACTCTCACGGGCCCTTCAAACCTCATTGTCTTTACCATTTTACCAAAGAGCTTATTCTAATTTATCATCGTTGATCCGTTGGTTATCATTCGCATTTGCAGGACAAACAATCCCACTGTTGTTAAGTCCCAATGGTGCTGGAAGGGGCAGCTTGAAGCACACTAATTTAGATGAACATTAGATGGTTTTACGCTAGAGCACTGTACCTTTTGCATCGTGAAACACAAATTTTACTCCAGATAGGCTAGAGTTTTCATGTTGTTCCCAGCGCAACGTACAGCTTCACCAGACTTCATGCCAAAACGCCCTGCCGACGGCAGCCATCAAGTCGTCAACGCTTGTCTCATCTCTCTCCGGTCCATTCCAGATGACGAGCTCTCGCAAGCCCTGCTGGGACATCACTTCTTGGATCTTCCTGAGCCTCTTGACACCAGCCTCTCCGGGTTTCATGTTCGGCTTTGTGGCTATGACAATGATGCTGCTCCTGACCTCCTCGCCGAAAATCTTGAACAAGTTCAGGAGGGTGTCTCTCAGCTGCAAAGCATCATTGGCCAATGACTCCTGGGTTTGTCCGGAAATGGAAATAAAATGAAGTAAATGGGTACCTAAACTATCCAAATTGGCAATTTAAAAACTGGGAACATGATGTTCTACACCAGGGAAATTGGGGAGAATCTACTTTGGACAAACCCAACACACAACTCCCGAAATGTCAGACCCCAATATATCCCTGTGATACTTTCGGTATCTTTTGGTAAACAGGAACCCAGCACCAGGCGATCTACATCGATCTACTGCACTTGAAATATCCACAAGCCCCATAACAGATGCTGAAGGTACAGCCAAGATGCAAAGACCAAGAATTTGACCCGTTTCACGTCAACTGCAGCGATACGGCCCATGGCAGCTGCAACCAGCTTTCCGATTTCTTCTTTGGAGTAACGCAGCAAGGAGTCGCCCAGCCCAATGGTGTCCACCATGATCCCCACGATCGAATCCCACACTGACACGGTGGTAGTGACTGACTCACCACTGCCATCGCCAATCTCTGGACACAGATCTTCCGGGCTCTTGCGGAGTTGACAAATCAGCGTTGACTTTGCTGCTTGGCTGGGGCCCCAACCAACGTGAGCCACTGGCTCAGATGTATCGGTACAAGTGGCACCAAAGTTCCTGTTCTGATCGGAAGCAACACCGGCCTCAAAAGATGCCAGCAGGTCTTCACTGATGTGCTCCTTTGCAAGGCCAATGAAGTCTTCGACCGGCAGCGTGTACTCGACACTTTCGCTACGAGTCACGTTGCGCGTGGCATTTGTCCATTTGGTGACATTATTTTTGGTCTTGTGCCACTTGGTAACATTCTTCCAAACATGTTTTTTTTTGGCCGGTGTGCACTTCCATTCATGTTTAGGGACTACGCTTAGCACGTCCTTGCACACCGGGGCTCGGCGACGGCTGCGGCGACGGCGGTTCCAAAGCGCCGCAGCCCTGCGGACAACGAGAAGGCGGCTCAACCACCTCGCGCCGCTAGTGGGCACGGCGAGAAGCACCAAGACCAAGAGTGCCAGCAGCAACTTCATCGCCGGACTCGATGCTGGCAAGAAATCTGCTGGATTTTGTGCGCTTGAGAGAGAGACTGGGGCTGTCAAGCAGATCAAAGTCCTTGAAGTCAGAGTCATGAAGGGCAAAATTGCTTGATACTGGTGATGGTAAGTGCTAACTTTCTCAGCTTCAAATTGAATTGTCCATCTAACATATCTGAAAAGGCATCCCGTGCCTCCCGGGTAGGCCAGGCGGCAGTACCTGCTTAGGACAGTACCATAGGGCGCTCATGTTAGGCCAATGGGTTACTACCCAACCTGGAAGACAATCAGTGGGCTCTAAGAGTTTGGGGAGGTCTATTCACACTTTGATACACAAATCTATAGGCTCTATGGTATTCAGATGCAAGATGAGACGACTCAAAGAGGTAAGAGACCCTGGAATTGTGATTTAGAATGCCCAGAGAGGTGCTGATTAATAAAATAAAAAACAAACCAAAAAAACAGCCAAAAACTAAAACACACCGAGAAAAAAGTGGAAAAGCAAGACTTAACAAAAGACTCACAAAAAAAAAAACAAAGAGAAAACAGAGACTCAGCAGAAGGCTCAAAAAAATCAAATTGGCTGGACAATGCTGATGTTTAAGGAAAAACTTGGAAAAGCTGCTGAAACATTGACCGAGGGAAAATGCGGATTTTAGTCCGGAGTTGAGTCTTCTGAGTCTTCGGTAGGGTCCCTTGTTGGATCGGTTTTTCATTTGTTTTTTTTTTCCGTGTTATTTTTTCTGAGTCTTCTGTTGAGTCTCTCTCTCTTTTGCATTTGTGTTTTTCTGAGTGTTCTTTTGTTTTTCAAAATTGTTTTAAATGTTGGCTGTTTTTTTGGATTGTTTTCTTTTTGATGTTTTTGTTTTTTTGTTTTTTCCTTGATTTTGGGCCTCCCTGAGGGATTCTTTTTCACAACCCTGGAAAGCAACTCCAATCCTCAACATGGCACATTTGTTTGCTGTTCACTGCTTGTTCCAGCTAGTCTTCCTCGAAACCGAAATAAAGGGGTTGAACCAAGTTATCAGAAACGTGGGCCCTGGGACGGAAAATTGAAATCCCTGCTAGGCTCAGAAATGTCCTTGCTCTCTGCTTTGAGGTACAGCCAATGGCTGTTTTCTGAAGAAGTGCGAAGCTTGAAAATCAAGGTTTACTTGCTAAATTTTAAATGTGTTAGCCCTTATCTCCCCACTTGATAGGGAATATGGACACCCATAGCTCCTTAGTTGGCTCCCTATATTCACGAGATGGGATACCATTACAGCAGTTCCAAGATGGCCATGGCCGATGTTTTTTTTCGCGATCTCGGGCACAGGAGCAACGCAAAGATCCCGTAGCCCAAAGCTTGTTCCGAGAGGCGGGACAACCTCCGTGGCAATGGGAACCGACCACGGTGGATGCCGTGTCAACGTCATGTGGATGCCGTGTCAATGAATGGTTCAACTGTTCAACTCCACTCTACCCTTCGCAATCCGTTCGCAAAAAGGGGATGCCTCAAAAACTGGGTGAGAAAACTCCAGGCTCTCAGGGGCTGGGGGCTGGCTGCAAAATTTGACTCATATCTTTTTTAGGCACCCTGGATCGATCACTGGTTTCTGGGTCCAAAAAAAATGACGGGAAAGCGCCATCAAGTCCCATGTGGATGTTGATCCACCAGAAATCCACACCTGTGCACCGTGTCTCGGAGAAAGAAGGCCGACCTTGCTGGGGAGGTCGCTGGAATGGGAGGATGGGTCTTTCTCTCACTTGGAGGATCATTCCAGGGATCTGGATAAACATGGATTTTATCCAAACCAATTATAATTAGAACATAGTTACTTGGGGATATCAGAAATTCTAATTATGATATCCAGATAAACATGGATAAACTCTCTTACTTGGAGGATCTGGATTATGATATAAGGCTACTTGGGGATAGTTACCCCTATCCAATTCCCATCATTCGTTTGTGACGCCGCGATGTGAGGTTCTTTTTTGACCGTCGCAGTGGAACTATAATGGACATGGAAAAATGGCCCCCCTGTAAGATGGATGGTTTTTGGGGTACAGTACTATATACCCTCTGGTAATTTGTTACATACCTATGGAAAATGACCATTTAGTTCGTTGATTTACCCATTAAAAATGGAAATTCTCCATAGTTTCTTGTATGTTTACCAGAGGGTACATTAATATACTATAATCCCCTGCAAGAGTGGAAATTTTATAGGGAAGGATGCCAAAGTAATGATCAACCAATGTCAGGCTTCTTCGAGCATCTGGCAATGGAAAACCGGGAAAACCCACCAACAAAGAATTTTCCAATGATGGATTGCAGATGGTTTGGGATGATTTGTATCAAAAATTGATGTTACCTCCATGAAACTAACATAGATGTGGAAAATCCATGAACATCCTCTATTTAAGTAGATCATGTTCACAGGCTTTTCGCCATGGGTTCCCCACATCGTTCGTTTTCCGTAGGGTTTTTGATTGCTATGATCCCATGGTTAATGAAACTCTCGTGGCTTATCCCCCATGGCTAACTCCAGATACTCACCAGGTACTACAATGTGGGGCCCCCCAGTGATGTTAGTTGGTTTATAAAGCCCAGTAACTATTAACTATAGTTAATTGCGTATCATAAACCATAGTTATTGGAGTTATAAACCAACTATAACCAATTTATATAATTATCTAGGGGGGCCCACTTTGTAACTTTGAGGACTATCCATTTTCGCCGGGCCACGTCTCATCGTTCCCGTCCGGCTCCATCCGCTCTATCCGCTGCGGTCATGCCGCAGGGGTCGACGTTTCCGCCGCCGACGTTGGTCGTTTTCCGTGGAAGTTCCGCAGTTGAAATTGCTGGAGAAGTGGGTTATGTATCCCATAGGATCCATGGTGCTGGAATATTTACCAACATTTGCCCTAAAATCACCCAGTTATGTAGGTAAATATACTATACATGGATCCTATGGGTATGTGAAAAAATTGTTTAACCATCACAAAAAAAGAAACATGTTAAAAGCAATCAGGTCGTCATGACATGATCCCACTTTTGGGCTAGATGAATGACCAAGTAATGGTGCAGCTGTGGAGTTCGTAAATGGCTTGTCAATGGTGAGAACTCTTGCAATAGCGCCTACCCTTTAGTAATTTGTTACATAGCTATGTAAAATGGCCCATTTATAGTGGATTTACCCATTGAAAATGGTGATTTTCCATAGTTTCGTGTATGTTTACCAGAGGGTAAATGGATCATACCATACCTAGTCACCAGCAATGTGTGAAATTTCAGGAATCATCGCAGCACATCATAGCTCTTTTGTGACCAAGTTTCCCCAGTTTTTTAACCATGGAATCCATGGAATTCCGAGCTTTACCTCGAAGCCCTAGATCTGAAATGTCACTGTTCAGCCAGTGAAACATCTGGCATCGACGTTGATCTGATGATGGCTATGATGGCTATGACGTTGATCTCATGATGCACATGATCCCTAGATTCCGCGGTCCTGTCCCGGGAATGCACAGTGTCACATGCTTACTCTGCTGCCTCTTGATCAAGCCTTGTGTGCGAGGTGGCCCGAAAAAAAATTGGATCATGTACAGCAGGAAGAATTGAGACTCATGATTAGGCAATGATATGACTCATGACCAACAAAAATGGAAGATGGACCAACAAAATAGGAGCTGGTTGGTGGTTTCAACCTACCCCTCTGAAAAATGATGGAGTTAAAGTCAGTTGGGATTATTATTCCCAATATATGGAAAGTCATAAAAATTATGTTCCAAACCACCAACCAGGGAGGGTTGAATACCAGATATGACAAACCCACCCTGCGGTACATCTTCGGGATGTCTAGTTCACTCTCAAAAAGGGGATCCAGGACAGCTTCTAGATTCAAAGGAATATCAGTAGCTTGGGTGACACAAAACATTCAATAGTATGTGTATATTACATATATTATGTATATATATATATATACATACATAGCGATGTTGCACAGAATGACTGCACCATTTGGGAGTCCTATCATATATCCACGTTGGTTGGTGTTTTTTTTAGCTGACCGTTTCGAACGGATCCCAAAGTGATTTTCATAATTTACTGTTGGGCCCGGCAAAAAAGCCCCAGCAAAACAATCTACATCAAAATTTCTTATTAACAGATCTTGCGTATGCACAGCTTACCACAGGGAAAGAAGGGGTGAATAGTGTGAACCCAGAGCCAAACCGTTGTTAAGGCTTAATAACAAATGTGCCAAAGCCACACGTGTGAACAGTGGATTTTCTGTTTTGCAGCTAGGGTGATCGACATGACTTTCTGGGCGTGACTTCCTCCAAAAGGCAGGTCCCTTACTAAGCCTTATTAAGCGCTATGCCAACCTCATGCAATGTTCATGTGATTTTCCCAGTCTTCAGACACACAAAATCAACTTACCTTATTAATCCTTATTAACATATTCTCTTCCCCAGGTCAAATTTCCGTTGTTTTTTCCAAATTCTAAGCCATGACATGACACTCGCCTAACAAGCCCTATTAGTAGAAGTGCTGTTCTCAAGTCATTTTGGTTGGGCCAGGGACGTCGGGGTGACCAGTGGAATTTGGTATACAACTGGGTTTTGGGATACAACTGGGGGCCATTACACAAACAACGCGCCCCCAACAGTAAAATGGAGAGATTTTCCCAAGCCCAACAGCAGAGCCGTGTGGTAGATGTGACAGTGCAAACCGTCCCACTTGTAGCTATTGGCAAATCAGAGCACTCATTCTCCGTAGGAAACAATTGGGTTCAGGAAACCTCTGCTCACTTCTAGAAAAACTAGTATGTGGGGTCTCTTTTTTTGGGCTTCATATTCAACCTCATGCTATCTCATGCTAGGAATCGATCATCAGTTTCAAAGTTCATTTTAAAGGTGTCATGATCATCCCAAACATACGGATCCAGAGTACAGAACCAGCACCACACCCCTCCCTGGAAATCTTTCGTCGCTGTGATTGCGCAGTATGTCGCTCG